TGCCTTCAAAATAGTCCCCATTGGATATTATGCACATGTGCCAGCTCTTCTTCCAATACTCGAAACACTTTTAAAACTCGATCTTTGGGATAGCCTTTAGTTCTTTCAGCGATGCGCTTTTAAAGTCATCTGTGCTTGCAAAACGACGGCCCTTTAAGGTTCTCTTTATATTTGGGAATAGGCATGTCTGGCGAATATGGAGGCTGGGCCATCATTACAGTATTGTTTTTGGCCAAAAATGTTGTTCAAAATTTAACAATTTTAGAACAAATTTTGCTGCCACGCGTCTCATACCCAAAACATTCAAAAAAATGTCATGGGATGAGCCAATCGATATACCAACATCATCAGCGACTTCTCTGATGGTTTATAACCATTTCTTCCACTTTTTCCATGTTTTTATCAGTTGTTAATATGCTTGTGCGTTCAGGGCGTTCGTCATCTTCAACGTCTTCACGGCCATCTTGGAAACTCTTATACCACTTGTAAACTCTTGTTTTGCTTATAGCAGACTCACTATATGCCTTTGTTAACATTTCACAGAATTTGTTTCATTTTTAAGCAAAATTGGGTACAAATTCTTTGATCCATTTCTTTTAACGAACGAAAAATCGCCGAGCTCATAAAACACGTCTAACCTTAGCGGCTGCCACAGACAAAGTAAACAATGAAAACAGCTAAGGTTTTTATCATACTTCGGGGGCATGTATACCAACATAATAAAGAAAATTTTATGACAACCGGACCCTCCGAATCCGCGAAATTTAACAATTACCTTTATTTTCTGAACACACCTCGTAATTAAAAAATAAAAAAAATTTAAAGATAAAATTACTACTATGTAAATTATATCAAATATCTTTGCTGTTTTTTTGTTTGATTGAAAAGCTGAATACTTGAAATCAATTGATTTATAAATTTCTTTAGTTTCATTGTAAAATAATTACCCCTAACATTGAACTTGGGTGAAAATATTTATTGATTTATTTTTTTTAATTAAAAAACATAAATGTTTACTTTTTAACATTAATTATAGATAATTATCAACAGTTTTTGCCAATAATACAAGTTTAAAAGGAATTTTATAGGAAAATAAAAAATACACCATGTAGGTAAAAGCAAATGTTTTTGCTAGAAAGCAAGTGTGTGAAACTATGTTTTTACATTTTTGGTGCAAATTGTTTTTATTATTTGTAATATTTATTTGACAAATAATTAAAAATATGATCTGAAACAATATTTTTATTTTTAAAATAAAATACAAAGGGTAAAAAAATTTGGACTAGAACTGCAACTATTAAATTTTAAAATTTGCTTTATAAAAGTAACAGTTTTTAAAATTTGTGTACCTATATTTTTCAATTTAAATTATTTAAAAAACAAAGTGGATAAGGCATGCTGAATTTTTTTTATTTGGTTTAATTTAAGCTTTTAGAAAAGCATGGATTCTTACCCCAGGGTGTAGCCAGGATTTTGTTCAGGGGGCAGAAAAGGATAAACTATATGCATGCTACAAAAAGTTTCGAGACTCCACCTCCCACCCATTTTCTAGCACAATTTTTCTGGACATGCAATTTTTGAGTAAAGCTCCCTCCTTTTGATTAAAAAAGTTTATTCTGAAGCCATAATTTATGTATATCAAGCATTAACTAACATATGTTATCCTCAGAGTTTCTTTCTTAATTTTTTTATATTCTTGTCACAAATTTTAAATATCTTTTTTCCCTCTCGATGTCTTCGGTATTTATTTTTTAAAACATTTGCCTAAATGCCTACAAAGGTGTTATTGGTACCTGTAAAAAATACGTAAAAGAGCATTGCCTTTTAGAAACAGGTCTAGTATTCCTATAGCTATAATATAAATATTATAATTATAATATAATTAATTAATCTTAAGTACTGCAACTTGCGAAAATAAAATTTATTTTGTCATTTTATTACTATTCATTTAAAAATCAACCAATTTTTTAACTGATTTTATTACTACTATATAAATTTATATTGTAAAACAGTGTTATTTAAAATTTTAAAATAAGTGGTGAACAAATTATAAAGCAACAGAAAACATGCAGTGTGTTGAATGCAGAAAACAAGAAGAAGAAAACTATGAAAGGATTGTCTAATTATTAAAAAAAAGTTATTAATAACTCAACAAACTACAATTGTGTTTTTTATAATATTATATAAAAACGAAATTATGGTAGTTACCAAATAAATTAAACCAAATATCCCTAGATACTTACGTGTTCCTAATCCAGTGTTGACGGATCTTCAAGACGAGAATGACAGATTGATAATTTGGGTTTGACACAGTCAACATAATTGTTTATTATTGCAAAATTGTGTGGTAAAAGTTTTTACTCGGAAACCAGACAATCAATCTTTCTAAAACTTTGTAAATGTTTTTCAAGTAGACTCTACTATACCCTAGTATTTTTTCAGGATTTTCTCATATCGTCGTAACAAATTTCAAAACTTTTTACCCTGTATATAGGTATACTTATAATATAATTAACAAACAAAATTATACACCTACAACCGAGTTGTACAAATAATCCGGCAGCTTACGCTAATTTAAAAGTGCCTTTTGAGTTAAAAGGACAGATAATTGTTGTAATGCAATTTATTTTCGAAATGCCTGTAGCATTATCCTGTGTGTTTGTGCTTGCCCGACATGCTACGATAATTATAATTATCCAGCAAACGCATTTAATCGCATTGCATTCGATTTTTAAAATATTTTTTTATGTTTTCGTTAATTATTTAGAGATTAACGTTGACACAAAGTTATTCTCTAAAGGAATTTAATATCAGTAACATCAAATTGTTTATTTTAAAGTTTATTGTCCAAAATTCTTAATATTAACAGGCTTTAAGTGATAAGCTTAAATTCAAACTGTTTAAAGAACACTGAGAAAAAACAAGTGTTGATTCAAACGAGAAATGCTTAACTTAACATCTTAATAAAGAATTCAAGGTCAAAAATGTTAAAATAATTTCACAAGCTTAAGCTTAAACTGGGCTGATTTAACCTAATGATTGGTCAGAAATTATGTATTTTTAATGTCATATACATTATCTTACTAAATGGACCACGGTTGTTTTGGTTAGAACTTCCCAATTTCTATTACACTGTTCAAAATTTCATGACCATTTTAACACCATACATGGTCTATATCGATACAAACCAAAATGGTGTTAAATATGGTTCGTTGGTCCGGTGTAAATTCAAATACTAAAATAGTGTAAATTTAACTTTCACACAGTAAAATAAATTTTACCTGGTGTAAATTGAACTCCTTTTCAGTGTTAAATATTATGAGTTTTTGGTCAAATTAAATCATGCTACACAGAAAAAAAGGAAACAGGAAGTTCCTTGACGCATTACTAGTATATTACCAGTGGCATTATTCCAGAAAATTGAACCTTAAACTCGATAGAGATAATGTTTTTAGTGCGTTCCACCAACTTAAAATACTTATTGACAGCTGTTTCCACCTATTTAAGGTCTCTTTAGTATCGAACAACTTGTAGTGTCACATTAAAGCAAAGGACTACCTGAGCTTATATACTCTTCATGTAAGTCAACAGAGGCGAGATTTAAGAACATAACGTGATCCACACCGCCTTTGCCGCGATCGGTACACACTATGCAACCAGGAATGTTTTTATCGTTTTAACAGATTGCTTTAGGTTGAAGTAACTCTTATTTTACAAACAACATATTTAGTAAACTGCAGTATGGCTCATGAGCCATACAGCGGGTTGGTTTCACTAAAGTTTACTGGGTTAATTTAACCAATTTAAAAAAAAATAACTATCTGGGTTAGTACCGTCAAACTAATCTTTGTTTATATTAACCTTCCCACAGTTGATTTAAATAAATACTTATGAGTCAACTAAATTAATATAGTCAAATGAACTATTCCTTTTTTTCTGTGTAGGTGCACTTTTTAAATATTTTTAGATAAACACCGTTTTGGTGTTTGATGTATATAACATTTTTAACCATAATTCATGATTAAGATTAAGATTACTCTTTACACCACAGATATTTTAAACAGTGTAATAATAATGTTAAAATACTTACTTAAATGTACGTATAACATATACACAGAAAATAAAATCTTCGCCCATAAGGACATTTGTTGCTCCAACGAAGTAAGTGCACCGTAAACGAAAAGCTTAAAACGCTTTCTCATGTGCTCCTAATACGTGTATGTAATTGGTTGACAAATGTAAGGTGATGCACCATTGTGCCAAATCAATATCTATAGTAGTTAAGCTAAGATATTTAAATTTTAAATTTAAATCTTTAGTTAAGAACTTATAGCCTAGGATTCTTTTCAATTGTGATGTATATATTAGTTTGATGAAATAAAACATTGTAGTTGGTGTTACGTCTATATTTTCTTTTTAAAATCTTTATGACTATCACATTACATGAAACAAATTTGCAAGGAAATATATAAATATATATGACAGGTATATACAATCAGTAGCAAAATTACAGTACACGGGACATGTCCTTAACATTTTATTTTCTATTATTAACGTCAAATCTTCCTTCTACATAGCGAAGAAGTCTATAGAAATGGTACAAGATAGCGAGGGCATGAGAAGAAAAATTCTTTACAGAAAATTTATTGTCGTTTATCCCAAATTAAATGTCAACGCGGTAAATTTTTAATTTTCTGATCCTTCCAACTTTGGTTTCCTTTTAAGAAAAACAATTCCTCTGATAGATTTTATGTGCAATATTAAGTCTTAAAGTGATTATTTAGGAATTTTTGTTGTCAGACCCGCGCTAAATAAGTCAGACGTACGAAAAACAACAAGGATATTTTTTTATATAGATTGCAGTTCTCAGTTTTAACGATAAATAAATAAAAATGTTTTAAAATCGTAAAAATTGAGCACGTTTCAACATCTATATAACATCGTCCCGTTCAACCTTATTTTTTTTACAATATTTTACAATTTTTTTCATAGTACAAAATGGGCTCAGTCGTACAAAATATATTTCACTTATATCACAAGCAGGCCTCGGCCGCGTCTTACAAAATACTTTTTAATTAATTATAACAATTTAGAGAGTTCAAACTGGGAGAGTTTAGTTAGTTTAACAGTTATTTACACTAGTGTAACATTCATTAAGTTTACATTGATCCAAATTTCAACACAAGATAAAACGCGACCTAAGTAACAGTGTTTTCACAGAGCATCACTCTATCGTCGTCAACGTCTCTTAGATGTCACCACAATTCTGTAATGCCAGGTAAACTATTAACCTCTATATCTTCCCTTACCGCCCTCTCCATACGCCTTCGTTTGAACCTGGTGAATTTAGCTGTCAACATCACCAAGACGGCTATGGTGATTAATAGTGTTACCCCCAGAATCATCATGCCTGGATGAACGTAGTAATCCTTGGTATCGTTTGTGGCCATGTAGGCTAACGATTCTTTTTCTATTTGACTCTGTGTGTGCGCATATTTATCAGTATTTTTTTCTGTTGTAGGTGTTACATCCTCGTAGAATTTGGAAGAATCCGGTGCAGGTGTAAGTCTTAGTTCCTTCTTGACCGACACTTTTTTCTTTTTGTTCTTCGATAATGATATCTCTTTGTTGTATTCCGGGACCGTGATTTTCTTTACGGCTATTAGGGATTGTTTTTCTGTGGTTGTATCATTTACTTTGGTGGCGACGGTGTCGTTGAGGATGAAGTGGATTGTTTTCCTTCTAATATCGATCTTGTTTAGGTCTTTGATGTCTGTTAAGTTGAAGTCTTGTTGGGGTTGTGTTACTGTTTTTATTGTTGTTGTTGTTGTTGTTAATTTTTCTTCGTGGTCGTAGGGTATGTCGATTAGTGGTAACTTCCATAATTCCGCTGGGTCATTGCAGACAATGTCTTTGTACTCGTGATCGTTCCTCATTCTCATCCACGCAGCTAGTGAGTGTAAATTGGTGCAATCCAATAAGTTTTCTTTGAGGTGTATGACGCGCAGTTGGGGTAGGAAGTCGATGATGTTGGATGGGAGATGACTTAGAGCGTTTCGTGATATATCCAACTCTTGCAGATTCTTCGAGGCGACCAACGCGGCCGCATCGCCTAGGTATTGTCTCGCCAGGCCAGGGCTGTCTGACAAGTCGAGCGTGACGAGGCGTTCGGCAGCGGAAATGGGGAACGCGGTGTCTTTAGCCGGGGTTATTAGAGCGATGGAGGCAAGACGTAGCGTTTGTCCCGCGAGACAGCCCGGTTCTAAAACGGCGATGGGATTCCGCGATAGATCTAATGTTACCAGTTGGGGTAGTTGAGTGAATGCGGCATGCTCCACCACTTTGATTTTGTTGTCGTTGAGGGTCAGCACTTCCAGGTTGCTTAGTCCCTGCAGATCGTCGCTGGAAATTTTGTTTATGGCGTTGTGTTCTAAGTGTAACACTCTCAGCTGCTCTGGTAGACTCTTGGGGACTTCTTTTATGCCGTTGTCCGTGAGGTAGAGTATCGTTAGGGTTTCCAGTCGGCCTAGAGCGTCGTCCTCAACGCTTTCCAGTTCGTTGGATGTAAAGTCTAGGAGTTGTAAAAGCGGGTACGAATCGAGATCACCGCATCTAACTGTAGTGATGGAGTTTCCGGCTAAACGTAGCGTTCTGATGGAGTGCGTTAAAGCGGCGGGCACCTGTTTGAGTCCCGTGCGGGAGGCATCGACCGTCTGCAGCCGGTGTCCGCTGTCGACGAGCACTTCGCTCAACGCGGGATTTCCCGCTAGAGTGAGGCGCGCCAGGCTTGGTAGCTGCAGACTGCCGGGCGCTACACGGGCCAGCCGGTTCCACGACACGTCCAACTGCTGTAACTTCGTCAGAGCGCCGAAGGAGACTTCATTGAGAACTTCCAACTTGTTTCGGCTCAAGTTCAAATATTGCAGATTCGTGACGGGCAGTAGCACTCTGTCGTTCAGTTTGGTTAAGTTGTTTGCGGATAAATCGAGACACTTTAAGTTGACAAGGCCTGTCAGGCTGTTGGGGGCTATGTATGTCAACGAATTTGCGCTTAAATTCAACATTTCAAGCGATTGTAACGCCGAGAATGATTCCTCTAAGGCAGAGAACGCGTTGTTGGAGAGATCTAAAGTTCGCAGCGTCGATACGTTCTGATTTATATCGGGAACAAACTCCAATTGATTGTGCGGCAACTTTAAGCTTCGCAGCTGCAAGCCGTCGAGATTGAAGGTGTAATTGGTAACATCGCTACTAACAATCGTGAGAGAGTGTAGCACAGGGAAGTCCTCCACTAAGCAACTCACTAAGCTGTCGATTAAATCACTGCGGTTCATGTTGGCGACACTTAACGCGAGAGTGGTGTTGTCCAGGTCTTTGACCAACCCGTCCGCGTAGCCGGCACAAATCACTTCCGTGGAGTACAGGGTGTTGTCGTTGTTTGGGTGATTCTTGCACGCGCACAGGTCCGGCGGACATGCCGCAGTCCACGCGGTGAGCAGCAGCACCGGTAACAACATGTTTGCGAGTCGTCGGATTTCACATATCTGCTGACGGCGAGAGTGAAAGGGTACGTCTGAGCCGTCGCGACGTTCGCACTGCACTGATATAGCCAAGCTTGCTCGGCATCGCGAAGGCGTGCGCCTGGATGCGCCGACCCGACGAGTATCGCTCGCCGACTCTTTCCGATTTTTAACCGGCCTCGTCTTCCGCCAAGGGCCATCCGTCAACCTACTAAATAATTGTAGGAATACCTATTAACCGTTGCGTATTTAAAACTAATATCGATAACCACACAGTTATTTTAACCAAATATTAACCCTTTCGTACGCTATGTCCACTGGAGTGGACATTTTTTTAACACCATTTATATTTTTAAATATTAAATATTTTGTCTCAAAAACATGTTGTCCATTATAGTGGACTAGACATAAAACACAGTAGATGACCGTATAATTACTTGACCTCTCTAAAGTAACTTTGTCCATTCCAGTGGACATGTCATATTATGAAAAAAAATATTTTTCAAAAATATCTCAAAATAATACCAATGAATGCAACTATAACGAAAGATTTTATGTTAACCCAGGACCACATAACATTATGTTAACTTTACAACCAACTGTAATCTGTTAACTAATTGAATAAGTAGTTTGTGGTTATAACAAATATTTTGTAGATTTAATAACAAAATCCTATATCAATAATTCAACAAAGCTTTTTGTACACCCAGTGACAAAAGTATTTGTTGGAAAGAATGTTAATAAGAAATCTTGCTTCCTTTCCTGAACAAAAAATTAACACTAAGCAGAATTGACCTACTAGTCATTTTTGACTAATTCATTTTTAGAGAGTAGATAAGTCTTATCAAAGTCATCAATCTTCAATTTATAATTACCGATTTTACCTATACTATGCATCCTGGAGACCTTATAGTTGGCTACTAGACTAACAAGAACAATATTTCAATATAATATATAAAAAAAATTACAAATCTAGAATTTAAAATACAAAAATCAATTATCTCAATTTACTCAGTTTTAGTCTGACGGGAGATTGTTGACTTTGCTCTGACAGGCCTCAATTCTGCTCCCATCTGTAAGCAATTCTATAAGTTTCTATAAGTTTATAGACAATTTAAAATTCTGCGCTTCCTGTAGCTTACAAAAATCTTATCAAATTTATTAAGTTTTCCAATGCATATATGCATAGCTATAGCTACAACCATTGAAGATTGGAGTTTTTGTTCTCTTTCTCTTTGTTACTTTTGCATTACCACTAACATTATTTAGTATTTATTTATTATATATTAAATGTTCTTTTAAATGTAAATTATCTAATCTTATTTTATTAACTAGTTTGAATTTTTTACTTTTATTAGCTATTTGTGTATTACATTGCCGCTCTGAGCGAGAAGTTTCCCTATCTTGCTATCTCGCGAGAGCGGAAATGTCACTTTCCACACAGGATTTTTTCTACAACCGGTGTTTCTATAAGAATATTTGGTAAAAATCAATAATTATTGATAACCTTAAATTTGACGTTTGTGTCAAAAGTCGCAAATACACTAAATGTTTCTTTATTATGGTTTCCATGGTAACTAAGCGAGAGACAAAGTAAAAAACGCTCGCTCCTCGAAAAAGTGCAACTTTGCGCTTTCTTTTGGAAGCGCAAATTTGTAGAAAAATTATATTATATGCTGCACTATTAAAAATATTTGTGAAATTACTACATTTTTACTAAGCAATTAATTGCAAAGTACTAAACAGGTTCCAATTTTACAATGTTTTTGTTTTTGTCAGATACTTATAGTAATTTTACAATTCTGTATTGTAGAATTGAATTTTAAATTTTTTAAAATTTCTATACATATTCGGAATTTAATTTTACTAAGATAATCAATAAAATTACTAACCAAAATTTGCTGTTTGATGGTGTTAATATAAACACCATACAGCAAACACCGAAACGGTGTTTATCTAAAAATATTTGAGAAGTGCACCTACACAGAAAAAAAGGAATAGTTAATTTAACTATATTAATTTAGTTGACCCATAAGTGTTTATTTAAATCAGCTGTTGGAAGGTTAATAATAATAATAATAATAATAATATTTTATTGATCCAAAAGACAATTAATTATTGTATAGGACAGGTAGGTACTTAAAAAAAACAGTACACACAGTTAGCTTAAAAAGTAGGTTTACATATAATGTGTAAAATAAAAGATCGTAGGTACTTACTATTAACAAACAATAATATAAAAAACAAGTTACAATTGGAATAATTATTTTAAAATTTCTTTTTTTCATAAAAGCATTTTTTTATTAATATTTCTTTTAAAAGTAATTTAAATGTATTAAAGCTTTTAGCATCTTTTATGTGTTGTGGAATATTATTATATAATTTTATGCCAGAGAAGAATGGTGATTTTTCATTTCATTTGTTAGTTTGACGGTACTAAACCAGATAGTTATTTTATTTTTTTTAAATTAGTTAAATTATCCCAGAAAACTTTAGTAAAACCAAGCTGTATGCTTTAGTTTACTAAATATGTTGTTTGTAAAATACGAGTTACTTCAACCTAAAGCACTCTGTTAAAACGATTAAAACAATTTGCCGTGCATTCCTGGTTGCATAGTATGTACCGATCGCGGCAAAGGCGGTGTGGATCACGTGATGTTCTTAAATCTCGCTCAGGTAGTCCTTTGCTTTGGTGTATCTTTAGTATCGAACAACAAGTTGTTCGATACTAAAGAGACCTTAAATAGGTGGAAACAGCTGTCAATACTTGAAGTATTTTAAGTTGGTGGAACGCACTAAAAACATCATCTCTAGCGAGTTGAAGATTCAATTTTTTGGAATAATACCACTGGTAATATACTAGTAATGCGTCAAGAAACCTGTTTTCTTTTTAATCCTTTTTTCTGTGTAGTATGATTTAATATGACCAAAAACACATAATATTTAACACTGAACAGGAGTTCAATTTACACCAGGTAAAATTTATCTTAATACTGTGTGAAAGTTAAATTTACACTATTTTAGTATTTGAATTTACACTGGACCAACGAACCATATTTAACACCATTTTGGTTTGTATCGATATAGACCGTATGGTGTTAATTTGGTGTTAAAATGGTCATGAAATTTTGAACAGTGTAATTTTACACTCTTTGTTTTGCGGCAATCACGTGATGTTCTTACATCTCGCCTCGGTTGACTTTGAAGGACAGTATATAAGCTCAGGTGTCTTTCGTTTTTGGTGTGTTCCAATTGTAAAATAAATTTTGTAATTTACTTAAACTGAGTTGAAATGAATTGTATAGTATAATTACAATACACTATTTTAAAATTACCAAACATATTTTGTATTTTTTTAGCAAAATTACAATACCTTTATAGTAATGTTACTGAACAAATTTTTAATAAATGCTTAGTGAATTTCATCAAACGTTTTGTAATTTTCCCAAATTGAGTTGTAATGAATCGTGAAATGAGTTTTATCAGTGTAGCTGTTATAAAATTTAATGTTCTAACATATTTTTTTGTTCCAGGTTAGTAATACACCTAATTTCTAAAATGGTACGTATTAAACGTTTGGAAGTATGCATAATAGAAGATTACAAAGACTTCATTAGGCTAAACTTTTTATCAAAACATCAACTTCACGGTAATTTTGCGTTTGGTTTCGGCTCTCGCGTTCGATACATTTGACAAATTCGTCCGATAACTGTAACTCATTTATACGTAATGCTTTCAAGTAATTTGTCATTTATAATGGGCAATCCATGTGCGATATTTTAATTATCGCTATATCACTTTACGGGATGGCCAAATTGCAATATTCGATGTGTAGATGAACTGCATCATGGAGAATTAATTGCGTCTGTCAAAATTTCATGATTTATCGAGTTTTTGCCGTTTTCGATTAATGGTTCTTTATATAAATTTTCCAAGGCAATGTATATTTTATCTTGACTGCAGTCCACTGGAAGACGAGTCCTCTAAAATCGGTTACAGTGTTATAAAAATCAGATTTGTAGTTTGTATTTTCATAAAAATTATTTATAATGTACAAAATAAAAAAAATATGAAATCACTTTTTAAACAACAAGTCTGCTTCGTTTATAGAATAGACCTTAAATATTTCGTTTAGAAAACGTCGAAACTTTAATTTTCTTAGTGATATTTTTGATATTTTTATCATGCTAGATTTTACCACACTTCACTCGCACAAGTGAAATCAATAAAATTATAATACGGACTGTGGATTATAAAGTTATGTTCACCTAGGAGAACGCTGGCCCTTTCCCCCTCTTTTTAAGGGAAATAATAAAAATGTTGTTACCGTTGCAAAACAATAGTAAATATTAAAAAAGTCTTTTTATAGCAATAAAATATTTTTGTTATTGTTCTTAACGTAAGCTATTAACAAAGATTTTCTAACTGAAATAAAATTAATTTTAATTACAACGATAGTAATTTAAAAAAGACAAATATGTCATAGTAAAATTTTACTATAACAACTGCGCATTACTTTATGTAAGCGCAACTCACACACAACTAAAAACATTTTAAGTTCGACAAAAATTTAATATAAACATAAAGTATTTCTTATTGCCATGACAATATGATGATGGATGTACATTTTTTTTTATAGAAGCTCAACATTGCTGCGTCATTATAGTAAATGAGAATTTTATTAACAGTAAAAAAAGTGTATTCTGTAAATAAAAATACTTTCATTACTTTGACAAATCGTAGGTTTTTTTATAGCCATTGCAATTTTAAATTTAAGTTAAATAATATTATTTTATTAATCGCTTACAAAATTAATTTCATTATCAGTGCATGTACATTTTTCTGAGTGTATCTAATATAATTTTACAATATTAATAAATCTTAGTTTTTAGTACTACACTAAAATAAATTTAGCAAAGGAGAGTGTTTGGTTTCAATTTGGTCATTAACAACAATATCCGATTTTTTCTTTAGTTTATTAATTTCAAAGACTTCAGAAGATTTAGTTATTGGAAACATGTAAGATTCTAAAGTTATTGTCAAATTTTTGATTCTCTTGTATTAGATGGTTAGCATAAGAAA